CGTGCGAGTGCACAGAGGCTTGGCAAGCGAAGTCAGAACGAGTTAACGCATCAGGCTTCTGGGGCCTGCGTCCCCATGGCACCCAACGTATACTCTTCACGATAAACAATTTGACGCGCTAAAAGCTGTGGCTTGGAAGGCCGCCAACTGACGAGCAACCTCGATCCTTTCCTCAGGACGGAGAAGAAAGTTGCACCGATGCCTTCTGAATGTGGTCTCAATGGCATTCCCAGTCAGCTGGGATCCGGGCCGCCCTCAAACTTTGCTGTGGTTTTCTGGTTGTGGTGACCCACAGTGAGTGGATCTGCGCCTTCTCTCATCTCCGGTCTTCTTGAATCTGTCTTAACGCCGGGCTCTGGTGAGGGAGAGAAACACAAAGTGAGGCAGATCCATCGGAAGTCCCACCCTGCTGTGGAGCACAAGGTGCACCTAGTAGAAACCGACGGTCGAACTGCCGCATGAATATGTGAATGTTGGGCCGAAATCCCATTCTACCGGGCTTTTAGGTAGGCACATTTGGGTCGCAGTAATCTTTATTCTGATTATGCAAAGTAAATTCTGAACACTGGCGGTAGATCTGATAGTGATGGGAACTGGTGTGATATAAGGAATAATTAGGAGTGAAACAACCTGGTTAATGACTGAAAGGTTGAACACACTTACAGAGAACAACCGCTCCAAGTCCATGGTTCCGGCACAGTAATCCAGGCAACTTTGATTTTCGTTAATTTTTTCCTAAAAGGCTATAGTAAGAAATGAGACCAAACTCACCTTAAGCACCGGGTAGTTTAATATTATTTCTGGATTCTGAAGGACAGCAGTAAAAAATACCAAGGTAAAGACCGAATTACCTGAGATATTACATACAGGTCCTCCTTGGCGGCACACCGTCCGTGCATTGCCTGTTGAAGGGCCTTAAAAATTTCATTGATTTGAAGCATCACAGTGATCAGCTGGATGGTGCGTAAGAAGGAGAAACAAGACGAAAAAATAACTAAACGTAGTAGTTTGGATGAATTTTTTTCGAATTAATAAGCGTCTCCAGTATGTCAAACGTCAATAGATGCCGTCGCCTTCCTTCTCTCTCTCTCTTGCTCTCCGGGATCTCTGTCAAAGCTCTCTAGTATCAGCGGGTGTGATGTGACAATCAAAATCTATGACTTTCGCAAGGTTGGGTGGACTGAATAAGTTTTAAAAACGGATGAAGTGTGGCCTTAGGAGTCACTCTGCTCATCATAAACATAAAATACAGCGAATGGAAATCGATTATCAGCATACTTATCTGAAACCGTATCTCGATATCGATGAGTGGATATGGTTCCCATCGTTTCTGTCTCCCCTTCCGCGACGCCATCTCATCTTGACCTCTTATCATCATCCCCCTAATTACGTCGTCCAGTCTCCACCCTTTCTGTTCTTTAATCTCAGTTGTTCATTTTCTTAAATCACTACTTCTGTAAGATAATACGCGTAGAAAGAGACATGATCACGAGGAACAAGAG